TTAATATATAAGTAATATATATATATATATATATATATATATATATATATATATATGCTGCAGAACAGCGATGAATCATGATTTTAACTCACTTCGCAGGATCTAACATTGCTTCAAGAGAAACTTCCAGTGAACTACTAAAATGATAAAGCGATGTAGATATTCCAGATTCTTAGAATCTGTACGATAGGAGAAGTTGATGTGACATCCATTAAAAAGTGAAATAGCAGAACAGGTTATAAGGTAAATGCACTAGACTATATAAAAGATAAAAGGAATATTGCATAGGGATTTTCTATTACCAAAGTAACCTATAGTGATCTGTATGGTTACCGGTAATCTAGGTGTCCACGGAACCCTTCTAGAAGAGGGTCTATTTCATATATCCTTTGACCTGTACCAGGCGGAGGTATGGTTCTTGGCAGAGCCTCAATTATAGTTCCCATTTGTTTGGGCTCATCTTCCTCAATCATCTGCAACAAGCATTGTTAATCTAGAATGAAAAGAAGAATATTGGGAAACACATATTTTCAGATCTACAAAACACGAGCCAAAGTTCCATAGGTAATGGAAAGTGCAAAACAAATATTCACCATGAATTACCAACTTACATTTGTTGAAAGACATAGGATGCAAAATGATCTTTGAATAATCAAATGCTACAAGAAGTGCATGTATTTTATGCTAGCACCAGACAAATTGCACTGAAATGCATAGATGAGAACATGTTCATTTTCTAAAACATGTGTCAAGAATGGAGTTGGGCGAAAGTAATATATTATAATAAAAATACATAGTTTAATATTATATATGTAGTATTATATATGTAGTATAATATGATATATGAATTATTATATATAATATAACATTGTAATGATATACGATAATATAATATAATTGATATTACAACATAATATAATATTACTATATAATATATTACATATAATATAATAGTATTATAATATATAATATAATATAATAGAAAATTGTTTCACGCGGGCTGGACCGCATTTATACATATGCGGTCCAAAAAATGTAAAGCATCCATCTTAAAGATGGATGAAAGTAGGTGTTTCATCCAAAAACAATGGAAACTAACGGTCCAAATGTTTTCTTACTAGAATTATTATTTTTATTTTTTAAAATTTATTTAT